ATTAACTCGTAACCAGTTTAGTACCTAAATTTACCTAAGGTTTTTTAAAAAACCTACTAAACTTTAAGTTAAAGAAACTACACTTAATAGTTAATCTAAGAGTTGTTAAGGTTAAAAGCAGCTATAAAAATATTGTTTAAAGTTTATCTTAACTGATCCCTTCCTCTGTTAGTACTTTTTTTTCAAATACAATATAGCTTAAAGTGTATAATGTTTGATATAATTTGCAATTTCATTGCCCAAAATTACTAGGGAAATAGTTTACTAATAATGTGGTTTTAAAACTTCTACTGATGAAAATAATAATTATTTTCCATTAAAAAAATATCATGATGCCCAATAACATAACTGTGGGGAAGTAGTTGCTGTTTAACCCTAATTAATAATATTCACAACTATAAGTGATTTCAAGTTTTGTGATAGTGCCAGAATTTGACTGACAATCTACCAGTACCAATCACTCATTTAATTATAAATAGCTCATTCAAGGTTAACTAGATATAACATATGATCACAGTAATATTTAAATTTATGATCTTCAAAACAAATTTAAAAAATAAGATTGTACTACCCTATTGCGTAATACATATACTTTTTAACTTGTATATAAAAATTACACAAGTTACGTTTTAATACTTACACTACAGAAAACAACACCAGCAACATAACCCCTGGCTTGAATGGTATAAAAACAAAAGTTCAGACAACAATGACCAACTAAAAAAAACATGTTGCATATAATAGATAAACAAATCAAACTAAAACATAAGCTACAATAAAACTTGTGGTGTGTCAATGTAAGCTAATACAGGGTTCATAAAATAATAGAGCTGTGCCATCTCTCAGGGACAAATTAACGTCTCGCTTACAGTATAATTACAGCAAAACCTTCTGTAGTGTATGTATGGTCTATGGCCTGGGTTGGTGGTTTGGGCGCTCCATTCGCCATTTGTATCTCACGGGTTGAAATCTAATCACCGAAACGCAGCCCTTTCAGACATATGAGGGTTATAATGTAACAATCAATCTCGTTGTTTGTTGTAAAGAGTAGGCCAAGAGTTGGCGGCTGGTGTTGTTGACTAGCTGCTTTCCTCTAAATTAGGGACGGGTAGCGCACATAGCTCATTCATTGCGCGAAATTCACCAAACAAAGAAACTTCTGTCAAGGTAAATAATTACTGCTATCATAAAAATCAAATTTACCCTCCAAATTATAAATTACTGTTCTTACTCTAATTTTAGTAAATTTGGGTTACCTTTGTGCGTGTGTGAAAGCTAGTATAAACTATATATTATAATATATACGCTTAAAACAAAGTTATACCTAAAATTACTGTCTCAAAATGTAACATTCCAAAATATCTTTGAAATTAAAACAAAACGTAAAACATACTTTCAAACAAGTTTTAATTTAGAAAAATTACATTTACTCACATTATTCACTTAAATTATTAGACAGCCTCTCTAACAACTCAGGTTCCACTGTAATTCACCACGTATATACATGATACATTATATCTTCAGGATAATTTCTACATGTATAAACCAAGTATTTGATTTTCTGTTGTTTGAAGGTGGCGCCCTCTACTCAAATATTAAGACACAACTACTTATTTGAACACTTCCAATTCTAGTTAAAAAGGGTTTTCCTACGCCTCATTACTATGTATGTATGGCTTGAATTTCGTAACAGTTATGAAATAGCACGCTTTCACGCTCCTGTTCAAGGAAATCCGGTAAAACATAAGGGTGCTTTTAAAGGTTTCCATGACAATGATGACATAAAAAACACTTGATAATGACCTGAATTAAAACGCCTTGCCTTAGTTTCAAAACCACGTCTTATTCCACGAAAGAAAAACGAGCTCAATAAACTGGTGTAACAGTATCACAGTGGGGATAGTGGTAGTCGAGCGATTTAGTGTGGCATAACAGTAAGAATAAAGCTAAGTGAGACATTTCTCACCTTCTTTTCTTTCTCTCGGAATGACTCTTCTGTTATATACCAATCCCAACGATATCAATTTTAAAAATTAGTCACAAATAATTTTATAAGAAATCAAAGACTTGTTTCTTTTCTACATATCTAGTTTTCATTCAATTTCATACATTTAACATCTTAAGTCTATGTTTTCTCCATGTTGTTTCCCTTATCCCGAATTCAGTATACAGAACAGTACAAATGAACAGTTTTACCCATATTTTTTCGCTAGAAAACTAAAGAATATAAAAAAGACAGGCACATTATATACATGTGTGTGTGTGTCTATTACAGATTTCTTTTTTTTTCACCAAGGATAAAATTGAAAAGAGAATATGTGACATATTGGCCTAATGCATTCCTTGATTAGTTGTCCCCTCTGCTGTAGACTGCAGTTTCGCCTTTTCAAGGCTCATCAGGTTACTGTATGGTGAATTAAAAAGGACTCAAAAGCCCCATAAAGATTAACACACATTCCAAAGTTCATTTGAAGTTTAAAGATTATCGTGATATATGTTATGAGAACACCGAAGTCGTGTCCCTCCTCGTTTTTTTTTTTATTTTTTTATTCATTCACTCATTTGTACATACATACATAGGTCTGTATACAGAATGTTTGAAACTGGGTTTCTAATTTGTGAGATCAAAAGCTAACACATATTGGATGAAGAAGAATCAGCATGCTACGTTGATCTGGGAGCATGCCCCCCAGTTATACGTGAAAAATAGGTGCTAGGAGATTAAATCTGGAAACAATTTTACATGAAATAGAGATCAAGCAATTACATGGATTTTCACATAAAATCCACAAATATCCAATGAAAAGTCAACAAATCATCATTCTGTTGTAACACTTCATGGGAAGTTAGACTTAAATTATCATAAATGTTTATGTTTTATTATAGTAAAGTATTGTACTATCTACATACAGAGTAGGCATTAATTGTTAAGTTATATTACTAACTTAAATAACTCTCTATTAGCTATTTCAGTCATTGGCTATTATATACATACATGTATGCACTACTGAAATGACATTTTAGCGTGTTCCATTCTTCTGGGGTGTTTTTCCACAAATAACTTACATACAGCTCCAATGTTGATAGCGATGTTATAATAATTATGTATTAAAGCCAGAGCACTCAGTCTTTCTTTGGTTTGTTTTCACCTCAGGTAGTTACTCAACCGACAGAGAGCAGATGCCGAACGTTCACATGAACATGAATTTAGTAGCAGTAGTGTTTTTATATCACAAAAATAGGGGGTTCGAGTGAACCCCCTCCCCCTGCGTACGTGAGTGTTATACACACACATATATATAAGAGGTACCTGTCCTACGTCCGATAGCATAAGGACTAAATGTATGGTTTGAAGCCTTCAAATAATAAATTAAGTCAAAAATTTGTATTTATGTGCATAATTTATTTCACACATAATTTACATTACATTACAATTACTTTATCTCACACCTACTTTATCATTACAGAAATGGTGTAACAATGACTTGACTTTACTTCGCTTTACTTTATTACTTTTACTAATTCCTCTCTACATCCTCAGTGTTTGTTGATACCCTGAGTGCTTCTTGATAATAAAAAAGAACTAGAAGTTCTTCCTCCTTCTTGGGTCAAAATGAAGAGATTTCTTGGTCATCCTACTCGTGAACACCCAACATAAAACTGACCACGTGAAAAGCAAGAAGTTTTCACATGTAACCCTGTCACATAAAAGGTCTAACCTTGTGCTTTGGTTGCCATTTTTCCTGGCAAAAATATGAATATTTGACATTTTTAATGAAAAACTCAAACTTTTCCAAGAAAAAGTGAAAAAAAAAATTAAGAATAAAAATCGGTCCAAGTCTGTGGGGTCATTAGCTAAACAAACATATGTTTGCTGTGGACGAACCTCAAGGTAAGTGGAGCCGTGTAATAACCGTCCAGGCCCGGCATGGCCAGGTGGTTAGGGCGCTCGACTCGTAATCTGAAGGTCGCGGGTTCGAATCCCCGTCACACCAAACATGCCAACCTCCGCCTTTGCCTGGCCCCAAGTCCAGGATAGCGGGGCTAGCAACTCCACTCCGTAAAAACCAAGCTGCTACAAGTAACTGCAACAACACCTTTCGTTGGCGAGGTGTTGTTGCGGCCCTATGCTCCACTGGGAGTTTACAGGAATAAAAAAATAAAATAAAAACAACCGTCCAATGACATACCCTTTCGTTCAATGTATCATCCTACCAAATTTGTTGAGATTGGTCCAACGTTGTTCGTGAACAAACAAACAAAGAAATATTTTGCTTATATAAGTATAGATCTATATATAAATATTCAAAGCACCACAATATTCGAAATATCGTATCTTTTTATTTCTATTTATGATTCCGGTAGGTTGGTAGCGCTTTCCCAGCATTAGTACTGCTCTTCACCTAACCAAAGTATATACAATACATAATACATTAAATATATAAATTTTTTACTTTTCGTTTGGTCTTTTGATAATCAACAAAAAAAAGAGATTATTCAATGAAAATTGTTTTTATAAAAAAAATCGGAAAGTAATTTGAATTTTATTGAGATAACTTGTGGGTTTCTTAAGTTTTTTTAGTTATATTTTATTTACAAGTTTTTATTGTTAATGGATTTTATATAACATGTAATCTTTATTTATATTATGTTTAGAATAGTTTCACTGGGATGTATGTGCTTATATATATACATATATGTATTTCGATGTTCTTAACAATTATATAATTAATGTATTACATATTGTGTTCGAACATGATAGTGCTCTGAATAATTTTATATATTTAATGCGGTTGAGAAGATCATACCCTTATATATATATTTATAATTGCAAGTTATAGCTTGAAACCGGAGTTTGTCCTCGATACGATATTTGCTCTGTTTACGACGTTTAATAATAAAGTATTATTTGACTTATCAAAAACTGCCACAATAACTGTGTACACTGTTAAATAGTAAGAGCAAGTTCTGACTAAGAAAGCTTTTCCAATTTGGTTGTTTTCGACTGCTCGTTTCGCATTCGTAGTGACGCAAAGAAGCGGAGACTGTACATATTCATCTCAGTTCGATGATTCATGAGACACAAAAGTTAGATGGGCTAAAATAAATTGTAAAAATAAACACGATAACAATTTCATTAGAACTATTGTTAGTTTGTAATTAAGCACAAAACTACACAATGGGCTATCTGTGCTCTGCCCACCACGGGTATCGAAACCCAGATTTTAGCGTTGTAAGTCCGCAGACATCCCGCGGTGCCACTGGGGGGGGGGGGCATTAAAAGTAAGAAAAAATAGTTATTTAAACTTTAAAGCAGTACACGCATGAACTTATTAGCTTTTTTTTTCATAATAATATTGCAAATGCTTGAATTGAAGGGGAAAGGAAAGGGCCTTTGTTAGAATAAATCATGTATATGGGGAAGTTTCGGAAGTGAGATTGCGCTGACTGACTTAACATCAGTGGAGGTAAGAGTGTGCGGCTACAATGATACTGATTATCCTTGTACCAAATATTATTTCCATTAACCATTAGAAAAGTTTATTTTCAGTCTGCTTTTAATGTTTATTTTATGCAAAATTATTGTTAAATTTTAGATCTGTTAAAATTAATAACGGTTCAATAAATTAATGAAATTCACAGTGTATGTATGTATATATATATATATACATATATGAACAGCGTACATTTCTTACATAATATTTATGGATTTCCTCTTCCTTGTTAAAATAGTTAGGTTAGAGCACTGAATATATCATCCCTTAAAGCTAACCTACTAATACTTGTGTGTAAATAACGGGTGACGTATTCAGTGCTCTAACCATAACTATTTTAAGAGTATCCCGTCATAAAGCCAATCTACTAATACTTGTGTGTAAATATGACGAGATACTTTTAAAATAGTTATGGTTAGAGCACTGAATACGTCACCCCTTATTTACACACAAGTATTAGTAGGTTAGCTTTATGACGAGATACTTTTAAAATAGTTATGGTTAGAGTACTGAATATGTCATCTTTTATTTACACACAAGTATTAGTAGGTTAGCTTTATGACGAGATACTTTTAAAATAGTTATGGTTAAAGCACTGAATACGTCACCCCTTATTTACACACAAGTATTAGTAGGTTAGCTTTATGACGGGATATTCGAGCAGGATAATTAGAGTTAATCTCAATTGAACTAAACGATTGAGTTTAAGTTAAGAAAATAAATAGACAGGAAACGTGACGTAAAGTGAAATACGCTCTTTATTTATAATGCAAAGCACAAAACACAGCGTGCATTCTTGCGTAGACACTCGACTGTCTCCTTCCTTCCGGAAAACAACTAGGAAACAAAAATAGCTCGAACTGAACAACTCAACGGTTTACTAAAGAACCTAATGAACTAAATAATTAACTCAAAAATATAATAACAGCAACTTTTACAATAGGAAAATACTAATTTAAATTATATTAATTCTTTAATATTCACCTGCCTTTTTGAATGTAACTTTTATCTAATAATGACCCGTTGCTATGGGTCGAAACGTTGTAATCATTAAAGTCAGAAGTTGCCTACTGTAAACGTTCCTCTTTTTGTATATTTGAATTAATTAACACCTCAATCCCCAGCAGGTTCTCCAGAGTTGCCATCGTAATCTTTATATGTTCCCTGGTCTTGTCTAGGACCTTCTCG